TCAAGCTGAAGAAGAACGCCACTTTGTGATGGGAGAATCTGAAGAGGGAGAGACAGAAAGAGGAACGAGATATAATCACTTTTTGGGAGAAGATGATATGGGAGATGCGGCAAAAATACCTACCTCCATACTACTGCCAGGATATTTTCTTGAAGGTCCACTACCTGCAGTAGAAGGAGCTATCAATGGAGGAGCACACAGCAGACTTCCTGTAGCTTGAATTAAACTGTGAGCTGAAAGAGCCAAAGAAGCACACAGCCAGATATTTGGGTGGTCTGAAGCCCGCCATCAATAATGTGGTCTAGATGCAACCCTATTGACACTGAGTGACATGCAAAACTTAGCACTGAAAGTGGAGAGAATACAGAGACATGGCAGGAGAGCGCCGCCACTCAGACAACCACTAATAGTTGGAGACCTCGGGAAGGGTATGCCTCAAGGAGTGAGACGACTAGTCGAGCAGGACAGACTCACTCAGAGAGAAAAGAAGTTTGAGAAAAGTAACATGCCCACTATAGTCCTTGATACACCAAAAATATATGCATTTTTAGACCCATAATTTATACTCATTTTTTGTGATATTGCACTTTAATGGAAGGTATTTTGATGTTTTCTTGCAGGTTGTTGATTTTTTAGACTTGAAGTAAAAAGGAAGCAAAAAGGATGCAATTTGGAGTCAAAATGACGTTTTTGAAAAAATACTCAACGCTGATGGTGCAGACTTATAGACCTTGCCTAGGGCAGCGCCGACGGCGCCAATGTTTAAATATAAAATAAATTGTGATGATTTTTTCAACTCCGAACTTAATTTATTTTTAGATCTGACCAATTAAATTGTTAAAATATATTGTGAAACATATGATCCGAGAAATGGACTATGAATTCTACAAAAGAGTGAGGGTCACATTTGATTTCATGGAGGAAAAATTCGTTCACGGAATTGAGTGCAAAAAAATAGGGAAATATACTTTGTTGGGTGTAGAATTGGAGAATCTTTAGGGTGACAGACTAAAATCTCCAATTCGGTCTTAGTGTTTAAAAACTAAAACGAGAGTTAGCCTTCAGGTGAAGGAAAGTGGGAGTCGGTATCCTTCTAGCCTAGCCACGGATTTAGGGACTAACCAATGATTTTCTATGCACTATATCAGGGTAGAGAATTAAAACTGCTCCTATTTGGCACAATACATATTATAAACATTTATCTCATCTCATTTCATCAGAATCTCATTATAATGGGAAAGATACTTTTTCACATAAGAAATCTTCATTACATGAACATAATTTATTAAATTAGCAGTTACATTTTAAACTTTGTATTTCTGTTTTTAGTTTAGTAATTTAATTCTGATAATATCTCAACATTCACTAGTGATTTCGATTGACTTTTTGTGAATTTCCTAGTTAATCTATCATTTTGAATTTAAAACTTCCCTGTGGGATCGATATTTGGTGTTTAAATAGAAAGTACATTATTACTTAATAATGATACGTATACTTGCATAGAATCTCATAATTAATTGTCTATACTTATATAAATTTTACACAACTTATTTTTTACGGATCAAGTTTTTGGCGTCGTTGTCGGGGATTAAAATTTTTAAGTAGTTGTGTCAACTTCATAAATACTTGCATAAAAAGTATCGGGATCAAATTTTTGGCGTCGTTGCCAGGAAAGGTAACGGTTAAATTAAATAAATTTGGTAAATTAGAAAATTTAGAGACAAAAAAAAAATCCAAAAATAAATATATTTTTATTTAAGAGTGTTTTTAAAGAATTTTACATTGCTTACTTTATTTGTTTATGAGAAATATTGGAACTGAATATTTAGTACCTTACAATTCAGAATTAAAACGTACTATTAGAAAAATTCGAAAACAACAAAGAGAAATTAAAAATTTAAAAGAAATGGTGAATAACTTAGATAATCCAATAAATGAAAATCAACAAAGTGTAGAGTAAAGGGAGTCCAAAAGAAGAAAGTCACACAAATATTTTTTAACAGATTGTAGTACAATGGCCCATTTAAATAAGCAAATGTCATAATTCGCATGCATAAAAATTAAATTTCAAAACCTTATATCCTATAAACCTATGTTTAGGTTAAAAGTCTTATATTTGGATAAAAAGATAATATATCCAAATAAGTAGCCTCGGTCATTAATCATTAGCATCATTCTTAGACTTATCCCAACTATTTTGGGTAGTCTTATGAATTTTCATTTTCTAAGTGTTCCTGCTAGGTGTTCCTTGAGATGTTAACCTACTCTGCACAAATCAATTTAAATAAGTTGAAAACTTTATATTTAGATAAACAATAATATATCCATATAAAGAGGCTTCATCAATATCAAAAAATTAGATTATCCCAAGTTCACAACTATTTGGGGTCAGTCTTGTGAATCCTTATTTTTCATATGTTACTAATAAGTGCTTCTTGAGATGTTTGTCATACTCTTCACAAACCATATTGAATAGCTTTTATCCAATGTTAGTCATGGTCTAATCCTTTTACTTGCTAATCCTCTTATGCTAATTCTATGAGCAATTTCTATTCTTTTTTTTCTTTTTTATTGCATGTCCAAGCCACTCAAATCTAATTTTCAATTGAATTATCTTTAATAGATATCACTCCAACCATTTATTGAATATAATCATATTCATTAATCCATCCCTTTTATATTTCGACACATCATGTAAATATTCTCATTGTTATTATATAAATGTAATTATCAATGACTATTGGTCTCCATTTAACTACCCAGCCATAATCTATAAGTTTTATCCTTTTTCTATATAATAGATCCACAAAACTTAAACATATCACAACAATGTATCACTTTATCCTCTTATAATATTGACGAATAATTACTTGTAACACACCTACTAAATAACATATAGAAAATCATTAAACTACTAGATCTTAAACTATTGTCATATTCACTTTTTCACTGCAACCTTAAATTTGCACTTTTAACAAGTGTCTTATTAGTAAGAAAGATGAACCGTATTTAAGTTGAATAACTTATATTGGATAAAATCTTATATCAAAATTAAATTTCTTATTTTTATTTGATATATATTATATTTAAATAACCTATCTAATGATAAGATCTTTTTGTATGTGCTCATTTTTAATGATATCAAATACTAATAATTGTAGTATATTTTTAAGCGTAGGTTCAGTTGGAGATTGTAACATTACTCTTATATTTCCTTTGGTATTTGATCAAAAGTTGCATTCGAACATGAGGATTATTATTTCTCCATGACTTACAAATTTAAGCAAACCTCCTGTATTACCGGATCTAACATTTTGCAAGTCAGAGGCCACAAATTTGAGTTTAGACCTCCCTTAAGTTTTTCTTTAAAAATTATAATTTCACGAGAAGAAATGCTAAGGGGGTGTTTGGTAGCATACTTTTAGTACAATTTAAGCCAAACACGAGAAAAGAGAGGGAAGTTAAATCTGACACTCCGCTAAATCCAATTTTACTTTCAGTTTTGACATAAATCCTGATTTATTAAAATCTGATATGTAGGTTGATTTTATAGATTTAGCTTAGGAAGAAAACATAGTTGTGCAGCTCCCGTTGTCGCTTCCCCAATCGCACAATGACCCAAAGGGGGAAATTCAAAATCACCACCTCATTGTATGTCATCGACTTCAAATGAATTATTCTGGTTCTTCCAAATCTCACATCAACCCTAAAACCATTTCATTTTTTTCTATGCAAATCATAAAAATTAATTTTTTTTTCTTCCTTTGTCATAAAGTTTTTCATGAACCTTTATGAGAGCAGTCTCACCGTGAGAAGAGAAGGTAGGAAAGGTACGAAGGAGAGGCCAATGGGAAGAAAGTAGTCATGCAAGGGCTCTGCAATGGGGACTTTCTGATGGAGAAGAAAGGCATTGGAGACGAAGTCAAGCAGGGTAAAAAATGAAGTTTTGAGGAAGATGATTATACCAGTGGGCAATGAGTTTCTCAACGCCACATTGCAAATTCAAGGATGAGAGGAAGAGCAGCCAAACATTCTTGTTTATTTGTTGGGAGCATTCACATACATGCCACCTAATTCTTATGTTTTTACATATATAACCCCTAAAATTTTTTGTTTACATTTATATTACCTAAATCTTTAATATTACATAAAAATACCACCATTTTAAATTTTAAGAAGTGAAAAACACCTTTTCTTACATAGGTAAGGTGTCATGTATGTAAAAATTGAAGTTTAGGTGTTAGATATGTAAAAATATATTATTTAACTGGTATGTATGTAAATCTTCATATTAGTTTGTGAAATAAAAGTGCTAATTACATAGCATTGACACCCCTGCAGTTGCCTAGAACATGGGAGAGCTCTATGGATTGGTTCTTGTTGGGACGCCATTGGCTCCATACTTTCCAAGTGATTGTTGAAACGTCATTGGCTCCAAACTTTTCTTAGTGCAGCACATCAGAGGTATTATATCGTTCAAATTTTTGTTTCGCTAGCTTTGTAGTATCTATGTTAATACGAGGGAAGGCTGTGAAGGGATGATGATAACAACATCAGAGCACCATGAAATTAAGGGATCGGGCCTGTAATCTTTCGAACTTGTTTTTAAGCCAATTGAGAGTGTTAAGTCCTGAAATAAGATGCCAAACACTCCTTGACGATTTAACCGGATTTAACCTTAATTGTACCAAACACTTTCATGGATTTAAGGGCATGAGGATTTGATAAATCCGGATTTGCCGGATTTACAAAAAACCTTCTTAACTTAAATCCAGGGTGCAGCCAATGGCTTAAGTTTCAAGCAAAATAGGCTGCTCTGAGCAGGCTTACATGCTTAAGCATTTAGCTTAGTCCTTTACTATGTTACCAATCGCCAACTACACGCAGTTAACTTTCACAAAAAGGGTAACAACCCCGCACTTAAACATGCAAGGAACTTAAGTAGCAGATCGATTTTTGTTTCAATCTATGTATATAGAAGCAGATCAGGAGATGCGTACCAAGGAGTTATGTACGCCAACACAGGATTAGGAAAATGGCGAATAGATCTATCGAATATAATCTTCGCATTCTCCTAAAAGAAGAAAGACCGCGATCAGAAACAAAACCAAGGTTTCGGTAAATAAATTAGAGGGGTTCCTTCTGCTTTACATTAAGGATCTCTCGATAACCAACATCGGACTTGATAATGTCCCCCTCGTATATAGAGAGAGAATATGACGTCGGCAGCCTTCGGGGAGATCGATTGCCCAAGTAAACGGCGAAGGAACTTGCGAGCAAGAAGAGGAGGAAAAAGAAAAGAGCAGAGGGCGAAATGGGAAAGCAGCGATGTCCATATGCTTCATTGGTTCGATTACCATGGCTGGGCTCATCGGAGACCTTCCGGCGGCTGGGTTCCACTTCTGTCTGGCGATGTAGCCTCCTGACCCCCATTGAATGGGATCCTCTTCCCATTCCACAAAATTCAGATTAAAGGAAATAATTGGGGGATATACATTTCTATCTTGATATCTCACTTAAAATACTTATATTTCATATTTAGCACCTCATGTAGGTGTTATGCTACACCACTGCGGCCGTAGTAATTTCTATTGTGAAGGAATTTTATCCAAATCTTCATGTGATAAATCAAGTAGTTGTCTATATTCGAGACGGATAGGTGTTTTTACTCCTTCAAGGATTATTAACTTATTCATAATCGAGTGCTTCAATTTATCATTATGCCAACTTTGCCCCTACAAAAGAATATGGATGAAGTTTTTAGATTCTTAACGGATGAAGATGGAACATTGGAGATAAGAGAACAATAATGTAAGTTTTCTTTCTGCAATGTTAAATTTTGCATCAAAGCCTTGGCATATTTTTATCTCTGCAAAGTTACTCCCAACTACAAAAATCAGTAAAGTGACAAAGGAAAGTGTTATATTGAACTGTTGTATTCAAACTGGAAGACCTATCGATGTGGGTGTTATAATAGTAAAATCAACTATTGGTTTGATTTTCAAGGGTCTAATCTTGGTCTTGGACATCCATCCACTTTCCATATTAGAATTGGGAAAAAATGTTTCTTCTTTGGAAGCCCATGGACTCAGTGTTAAATTGTGATTACTTAGAAAATGGAGAAGTGGATGGCAGAAATATTTTTATGGATCAATCATCTCAAAATTCATCACTTATATGACCCAAATTTCTAGAGAGTTTGTTTGTTATTTTGAAGAAGATTAAGAAGTTGGAGAATGAGATGACTAATATTATGAATGATATTATCACAATTTTAGATCAGTTCGATCATTTGGATTGGAGAATTAGCGAGCAATTTGTTGGATCAAAGAAGACTTGACAAATGAATATCCTTGTCGTCTTTTCTATAACTTATTGATGCATCGTCAATCCATGGGAGATCTTAGAGATGATGATAGTACTGAAGATGATGATGTGTAGAAACTTTGAAGTTTGGAATTCTGGTTTATAAGAGCTTCTGTGTGTTTAGTTATGTTAGATTTGCTTAGTTTACGATATCGGACTTTTTATGTTTGCTTTTAGTACTTTATTGTTTAGTTTTCAGTGTTAGGTGTTGTTGTGTGATTTCGACGTTGAATTATGTGTGATTTCAAAATACTTGTCTGTAATTGCTTGGACTTATATATAAAAATGTGAAGTTGTTTGTTGTTTGTGAAAATTTTATGTTAGTAGATCATTTGATTATGAAAATTAAAGTGAATTTAAATTAATTAGGAGACAGGGTGCTTTGGTGTACAATGTTTTTTACAAAAAAAACAAAAAATGAAATTTTGAGTGTTGGCGTTTAGGCGCCAAATTGGTTGGACCATTAAAATCACAAAAATGAACAGTGTTATCCATTTTACTGCTTAGGATCGTCTTCAACCTTGTAAATAGAAGCGAATAGCAAACTAGGGCTTCCAAAATCCTGGATTTGAGGTTATTTTGAGCTAGAAATTCTTGGATTTCATTTTCTCTTGATAAGAACTTCACTTTAACCTAGAAATTTTTTATTTTCACCATGGATTTCTCATATATTATGGGAAAACCAAAAATTAGAGGTTTTGGAGAAATTTAGTGAAGAATCCATGATGTGAAATTTCTTAGCCATGATTTTGATTTTATGAGTTTATTTTATCTTTATAGTGAATTTATGTGGAGTTATTTTGAATTCTTAGAGCTCTATGGCACCTAAAATGAGGAAGAAGAAGGGAAAAGATGCTTGCGACATGAAATATTTTGTTAACATTAAGGCACAACATCATTATAATTCTCAACTCATATTGAGAAAGCTTATTCAGGAATATGCATTTTACAATCCCGAAGGTTCTATCGAGCGATTGATTGTGGCATGAAATTGGGAAACATTATTTTATTTAATTGTTGTAGCAGCTGTTTCAATCATTTGGGAGTTCTATGCAAACCTACTGTAGGCTATGGATGATTAAGTTTAGGTTTGAAGAAAGAATGTGGAATTTACACCGGAGAGGATAAATGCATTATATAGGTTGAGAGATGATACATCTAAAATATATAGTATTTTTAGACGCATTTTTATACCTATTTTTTGAGATATTGTGTTTTAATGGAAGGTATTTGTGTGTTTTTCTTTCAGGTATAAGTAAAAAGGTGAAAATGCTAAAAGAAGTGAAAAAGGATCAAATTTGGAGCAAAAATGTTAAAATTGTGTTAAAGTGTTTTGGCGCCTAAGCGCCAGATTCGACGCTCAAGCGCCAGTGAAACAGAGATGGTCGCGCCTAAGCGTCAGAGGCCCTGCACTTAAACGTCAGAGGCAATTATGTGACGGTTTACTTTATTTTGCCAAATTTTGAAGAGATATTTGGGGCACCTATTGCTAAAGAGGGTGGTTATGACCACTCAAGCACGAAAATACAAGTTAAAGACTCGTGAAAGGAGGCATCTCTTGGAAGACAACCTTTGGAGAATTCATCGAATTTATACACATTTTGAAGAGTTATCAAGACAACTCTTGGAGATTTATAAAAGAAGGAAGTTGAGACTTTTTGAAGAGTGTTTGAAACTTGAAAGTCCTGAAAAGTGTTGGAAAGGGGGAGTTATGAGAAGATTTAGATATAGTTTTGGAGAGGTTTTTAGGCACCACAAATTTACTTTATCCTTTTTGTTTTTAGTTATCCACAAATTTACTTTATCCTTTTTGTTTTTAGTTTTATTTTGAGAGTAAAAGTGTTGCAAAAGAGAAGAAATCCAAAAGAACTCAAGAGTTTGGTGGAAGATTTGAGATAATTTTTTATCTTTTGTTTTTAAACTACCTTTGGTTTTAATTGAGACTTCTTATTGGTTTGACAATGATTTATACTTTTAAACTAAAGTGTGATTTTGTTTTCTCCATAGATTCTGAATAGTTTTCTTTATCTTTCTCCTTAAAATGATAAGTAATTAAAGTGTTGGATGGAAGTTGTTAATTGGAAAGAATCATAAGAGGTTGAATGAATAAGAATGTAATTCATATGATTTAGTGCAATGTCGGCACTATTTTTGGTATGGGGTTTGTCCGTAAGAAGCTGTCGGTCATCGACATTGAAATCCCGTTGCCCACTTCGGAAGGACGTTTTAAAAATTTTTATTTTTGAAAAAAGATGAAGTCAAACTGACCCCATAATTTTCATAGTTTAGATGAAAGAGCGTTTTACCTCAAATCCTGTATTTATC